CTCTTTGTGATGAAATGGCTAATGGTTTATCAATTTTATTTATTCTTTCAAAGAACCAACTTTTTGATTCATTGATTCTTCATATTGTTTTCTTAGTCTCTATTGTGTTAATTTCTGCTCTTATCTTTATAATTTCCTCCTTTGTATAAGCTTTGGACTTGATTTGTTCTTCTATTTCTAGAAGTTTGAGGTTCAACATTAGGTTGTTTATTTGAGCTCATTCTGTTTCCCTGATGTGTCAATTCATTGCTATATATTTCCCTTGAAGGACTGCTTTCATTATGTCCCATAAGTTTCAGCATATTACATCGGCATTATTGTTAAATTGTATGCACTGTTTAATTTTGTCTTTAATTTCCTCTGTGACCCTTTGGTTGTTCAGAAGGGTGTTTTTTAATTTCCACGTGTTAATGTAGTTTTTGTGATTTCCTTTGTCATTGATTTCCAGTTTCATTGTGCTGTGGTCAGCTAGCACGCATGGGATGATTTCAATTCCTCTGCATTCACTTAAACATGTTTTGTCAGGTAATGTATGGTCTGTTTTGGAGAATGTCCCATGTGCAGCTGAGAAGAATGTATATTCTGATGTTTTGGGGTGGAACTCTCTGTAGACATCTACCAAGTCCATTTGTTCTCAGGCTTGGTTTAATTCTAATATTTCTTTGCTGATTTTTTTGTCTAGTTGATCTATCTGTCTGTGAGAGTTAGGTATTAAGGTCCCCCACTACAATTGTGTTAGTGCTTATTTGGGTTTTCATGTCTGTTAATATTTGTTTTATGTAGTTGGGTGAACCTATGTGTAGTGCATCAATATTTATCATTGTTATCTCTTCTTCTTGTAGTTTTCCCTTAACAAGTATGCAGTGACCTTTTCAAAATCTCTTTTGATCAGTTTTGGCTTAAAGTTTGCATTATCTGAAAACAGAATGGCTCCCCTGCTTTTTTCTGGGTTCCTGTGGCATGGAGAATTGTTTTCCATCTTTTGACTTTTAGTCTATCAATTTCTTCTGGGTTAAATGTGTTTCTTGGATGCAGCATATTGTTGGATCTTGCTTCTTGCTCCATTTTGCCAGTCTGTTTCTTTTGATTGGTGAATTGAGACCATTTACTTTGATGGTTATAACTGATATGCACTGGCTTTTCTTTTTCATGTTGTTTTCTTGATATTTGTTCCTTGTCTTTCTCCTCTGTTCCTTTCCCTGCCTGCTGGCTTCTTTCTATTGGTGTTCATATGTTTGTGGTCTTTGTTGTCTGTTTCTAATATGTTCTTCAGAGCATTCTATAGAGCTGGTTTGGTGATCATAAATTTCTTCAGTTGTTCTTTATCATGGAAGTATCTTATTTCTCCATCAATTTTGAAAGATAGTTTTTCAGAGTACATCAATCTGGTTTGAAGATGGTTTTTCTTTAGGGCTTGAAATAGCTCACTCCAAGTTCTTTTTGATTTGAAGGTTTGTGTTGAGAAGTCTTCTGTGACTCTGATGGTCTTTCCTTTATAGGTGATATATTCTTTTCTCTAGCTGCTTTTAATATTTTATTCTTTGCTGAATTCTGGAATCTTGATTATTATTATATTCCTTGGCATATATTTATTTTGGTTATGTCTGTTTTGAGTTCTATATGCTTTATTTATTTGTATGTCCATGTTTGGGAAGTTTTTTGCCATTATTTCTGTGAAGAGGTTTTTAATGGCTTTTGTGCTATCTCCAGCTTTCTCACTGATTCCAGTCAATCTTACGTGGTTCTTCTTTGCTTCATCTGTAGCTTTTGGACTGATTTTTCATGGTTTCTTGTGGTTTTTCCTGGTTGCTAGCCATGTTTTTGTCTTCTAGATCTGATAGTCTATCCTCACCTTCATTCACTCTGCTGTGTATACTTTCAATGTAGTTTCTAATCTGCATTTCTGTTTGGATTTGTTTCATTGATTCCATTTCTTGTCTATGTTTGGATTCATGGTTTTCATGAGCTCCTCCATTCATCTACCTGTGTGTGCTTTATTGTCTCTTATTTTAATAGTCATTTATTTTTGCACCTTAGCATTCTTTGTTTTTCTATGGCCTCTTCCATTTTTTTTTTTTTTGTTTGTTTGTTTATGCTGCTATCATTTCAGAGAGTTCTATTTGTTGGCTTTCGATTTACTCTCTTTGTGCTCTGGACTTGTTCTGGGTGTGTTGGGTGTTTGGGTTTGCATTTTGTTTCTTTATTTTATCATTTTCTTTTTGATTTTGTTTTATGTGTTGATACTTAATAGATTTGTTACGATAGATAGACTTATCACTGGTGTCAAGGCTTTTCTAGGAGATGTCTGTTTCTCAAGATATCTTCTAGATGCAGGTGGTTCTTGGTTTTCATGTCTATTCCAAGAAACTACCTTCCCAATATATTAAGTCTGAAGAGTTGCTATCAATTTGACTTAGGGCCCATTCCTTTGTACAGGACTTTAGTGAGGGTTATGACCCCTTGCAGTTGCAGTGTTGTCATATGGAAGGAAAATTGGTTATAGTATGTATGAGATCCTGGTTAAAGTAATTTAGTTGGCAATAACAATAAACTCAAGTACAGCCTGGCTACTAACAAACTGTCGTGACTATTAGCCTGCTATCTATAACCATAGGAGGAAGGTCTACAGAAATATAATATAATCCATCTTATACAAGGAACTGGTATGTAATGATTTTCCAGTTAGTAGAGTTATTTTTACCCTGTTGTGGGATAGGGGTTCAGGACAATAAGGGGTAAGATGGAGAGATGAATGAAGTTAAAGATAGTAGGAGCAAGGTTGGAGGGCACAGGATGATCATGCAGGTTTTGGATAATTGTAGGACACAAGAGGGAAGGGTTGGAAGAAAAGTTTTGAAGTTAAACAGAAAGAGAAGAGACAATGTTTACTCACATGAAAGTATTGTAAAGTACAAGATAGCTGATGAAAGGCAAGAAGAGGGTGAGTAGAAAAAAACAAAAAGAAAGGTTAGAGATGACCTGTTAGGTCATATTGCTATGGTGCATGCGGTATTTCCATGCAGAAAAATAGAGGACAGGCCTCTAGTTTTGCCTGTCCATTGTGTGCAACTTAGCCAGGGTCCTGCTGTGTCACTGGCATTCCCACAGGTCTCTGGGCTCTGAGTCCCTGAGTGGAGGGAGGGAGGGGCGGATCTCAGACTTCTCTCACCAGCTGCATCTGGGATAATGGAGGAGGGGAGGGGCGGAAACTCACACTCCTCTCCTGAAGGGCTTCTTTCATCTTTCAGTGAGTCTCATAGCAAACATTCTGTCCATTTCTTTTTTCATTCAAGGGGTTTCTTTATCTTGCCCTCATTATTGATGACAATTTTGCTGGATAGGGTTCTTGACAGTTTTCTTGTTTGAGGAATTCGTGTTATCCCACTCTCTTCTGGATTCCATTGTTTCTGATGAGAGGTCAACAATGATTATTATTGGGGTTTGCTCAAAAGTGACAAGTCATTTTTTAATTCTTAACTGCTTTTAAGATTTTTCTCCTCCTCTAATCTCAACATGGGAGGCTGAGGTAGGAGGATTACAAATTTGAGTTCTATCTGGGTGATCTAGTGATATCCTCTCTCAAAATAAGGGCTGAGAATGGAGCGCAGGGCCTTCTCTGTGAAGGTCCTTGATTCAATCTCCAGCATCACCACCAAAAGAAAAAAAATTTCTTGTCTTATCTCAACTTTCAGCATAGTTCTATAATGACCTGTTTGTAGCTCACCTATATTTACTCTATTTGGAGTGTGTTGAACTTTCTTGATGTCTAGATTAATATTTTTCCAATAAATTTGAGAAGTTTTTAGTTATTATATCTTCAAATATTTCCTCTTCCTTTCCTTCACTCCATTTTGCATATTTGGTATGCTTAATAGTATCGCACACTTCATTGGCATTCTGTTAATTTTTCTTCATTCTTTTTCTTTGATTTCTCAAGTTGGTAATTTTTGTCTCCTCCTACCTTTATTTTTTTCTAGTCCTCTCCTGAAAAATAGCCAACACACAGTTAAGCCCACATGCCTAATGAACCTATCAATCTCCTCTAATATTTTTATCATAAACTCCTTTTTTGAGAGCATTATTAGATTTGATTTCCAGAGACTTTAAACATACTTTTTTCTTATACAATCTTCACCACTTTTCCTGTGTGGTGGGTTGTTAGAGTTCACACATGTTCTCATTCCAGAAGTTGATCTCCCTGAACAATACAGTATGTTTTTGAGAAAAAGCCCAAGTGTCCCCTTGTACTCAACTGACCCTCAAATCCAGAGTGTCCTAATTAAGAAGGATAGCTATGACATTGGGATTAGCAGAAGAAAGTAAGTCAGTATGTTAAGTTCCATGTTATTCTATAATCTTTCTTTCTCTTTGACAAATTTAGTCTCTTTGGGGTATTTTTACAGTAGTTTCTTGTGAGATGATTCATTTTCTTCTGTTGTCTAGAAGCCAGGTTGATTAAAGCAGGCAAAAACTATGATAAAAAATCTTTAACTTTTTTTTGGTCTAGAATAAGGGCAGGCTTCAGTTTGTGGAGGATTTTGAAAGAGATGTCTGAATATTGTAGATCATGCTGTTCTGAATGTTCTCATTCTCTGATTTTAAATTGAGGGGCTCATGAATGTAACAGAACTCCTGCCTCCAAGGACATCTTGTTGAAATGAAAAAAATACCTGGAAACCTCAGAATACTTTGTGGGTCTTAAGTGGTTCTGGAACCCCAAAGGTGAAATCATTACTTTATATCGATAGTTAGTAACTTGAACAACATCATTAAGCATCCAAAAGTTCTTTTCAAAATTGTCTGATTTACTATAAGAATCAGCCTCAGTCTTCAAATATATATTTAGGCTGTTTGATATAGGACTATATATCCACTGATCATTGTAGTTGTTTTTAATTAAGTTTATGAGTGGTTTCTCATGAATGACAGATTTAAAAAACTGCAATTAATACTTTAAGTATAGATATTCTTGGTGTTTCTAAAATTTTATCTCTTTGTAGAGCTGCTTTTAAAGGATGATAGAAGCTCATTTTCTCAGCTTCCAAAAGTTAAAGATGAGTCTACTCTTTGCATGATAAAGGTAAGTCTGAAAATTTGTTATTGGTGAATCAGTGATCAAAAACACACCATGGATAGGCACAATTTCAGGGTAGAGCTTGCTCTCAAGAGACCAGAGAGCTTTTCTTGCATAGGAATTGGTTGGGGTCAAAGGTGGAATGTACTCTCCTGAAGAACAGTAGATACCCAGAAGTGTAAGGCTTTGATTTAGCTACCCAATTAAGGTGCTGCAGAAGATATGATTTATTATTGGATGAGATTTAGTATTCCATGCTCTGTTTCTCATTTCCCACTCATAGTGATGACAGCAGCAGTGGTAGCAGCTACCATTTATTCAGTGCTTACTACATGATAGGCATTTTGCACAATTATTTGATTTTCACAACTCTCTGCTATAGTTGTTAAACATTTTTAACTATGCAGTACAGGATCATGAGAAAAACTAGCTGAAAGAGTATATGAAATTCAGCAATGACACGCATGCAGTAAAATACAGGTCTGGTAACAGTGCCTATCCCTTTTTGATTAAATATCTATGTTCTCAGCCATTTTATTAAATTCCCTAGAATTTTGTGTGATAGTCACTACTCTGTACAACAAACTTTTAGAGACCTGTTACTTGAAAGATTTTTTTTTGTCTTCTGCCATATCCAGTTGCTACTTATTATTGATTGTGTACTGTAAAATCTCATTATCTTCATATTGCCAATTAGATAACCATAGTTTAACATGAAATATAATCCATCTTCATTATTCATGGATTCTATTTGCTAATTTGCCTGCCTGCTCAAATTTATTTATAACTTCAAAATCAATACTCCTGGCACTGTTTTGATCATCTGTGGACACACCAGGGACAGAAGAGTTTGAGTTGCCCAAAGTGCAGCTGAGTTGAACGAGATGACACTCTGACTTTTTTGTTTTGGTTCGTAATGTCAACGAGTGTCCTTTTCTACCCTGTTCTGGTCTGCTTCACACAGGGTGAACATACATTGTCCAAAAGTACATCAGAACAGAAGAGCTGGAGATTTTATTTTATTTTTTTTTTGATTTTATATTATTTGCATGGGCTTTACTGGTTGTGTTCCTAATCTGAAAATACAAAAATTCAAGAAATGCTCTAGTATTTGAAACTTTTTAGTTTCTTGTTGGAGCTCAAAAGTTTTATTTCAGAGCATCTTGGAGCTCATAGTTTTGCATTAGGGTTACTCAGCTTGTATGTCATTTTTGTTCTATTTTGCTTGATGATTTTCATTTTTAAAATGCTCCCTAACTTAATCAATTAAAAAATACAATGCTCCCTAATTATAGCATTTCAGTGCTATCTAGGGTTTCTAAATTCAAGAAAGTTTTCATGCACCTTACAAAGGAAATGTGTTCCATATGGTTTCTTCAGCCCTAAGTAAGTGGCAGTACTGTTGCTTGTGAATCCAGAGTTAAAAAATCAACAATATAAATTAATTGTTTCCTTAAATATAAGTACACATGAAGCAAGGCAAGGTATTGATCAGTTTATAAAACATGGCTACCAGAGGTTTGCAGGAACCTGTCTCTGCATTTTCCTTAGGAGCGATGGCTTAGGAGTCACTAATTGGTATTTGTAGCAACTTTATAGAACTGAACAGAACTATTACTAATAACGAGCAAGGCAGTCAAGGATGATGTTGTCCGTGATAGTGCTTGCTGGTACTGTGTTCTTTCTCGTTTTCTATTGCCCTCTTCCTGTTCACTGAGCTCTCTTCTCTGATGATTAGGTACAAATTTCCTGTTTAGCCTTCCATTCAGTGTTACTTTTTGGTGCATGAAAAGTATTGGGTAAGAGTGAGACAATATTTCTCAACTGAGGTGATCATGTGGTGTTCTTCCTATAGTCGGTTTTACTGATGGAAGCAGAAGACAAGCTGAACTCCCTTCTGTCCGAGGTGGAGAGTGCAGGCCACAAGAACCTCTCTCAGTGCTCTGCTGGCGAGCTGGAGGTTGTGGTGGAGGCCAGGCTTCAGCTGGCAGTCATTGCCCTGCAGCAGCACCGCGCAGCATACAGGTCAGTCTCCTGGGCCCCTGGGGACAGTCTTTCCCCACCCGTAAAGCCCAGGTGCACCTTCCTTAGGTGCTGCTTGGAAGTTGCTGATTTTAATTTGGTAAACATTCTCAGATGTAAGGTAAGTTTTAGCAATGCCAAAGTTTTTTATTATTCAGGGAAGTTTTCATAAATTATTACAGCTAAAATTGCAATGCCCTGCAATGAAACTGCTTTATGAAACCATGCTAAGTGGGATGTTTAATGTCATATGTAGAACGAACAAATTAACCGTGCTTTGGTCTTAATTAATTTAATTTTTAAAAGACTAAACCTAAATTATTTATAGCTTTTTAAAAATAAAGACTATGACATGTATTTTTCTTAAACACCAAGGTTCTGTGGCGACGTCAGGAGCAGAGGTGGGGAGAGGAGGGGAGTTAATCATTTTAAAACTGTGCAGTTGTAACAAAGAGTGTGACTCTGTCTGTTCAGTGGTGAGCAGCTTTTAAGTTGCACCTCTCCCCTTCCTCTGCCACAGTCTGGGCAGACAAGGAAGATCATTTATTTCCTACTTTGGTGTTGGTGCAAAATTTGAGCCATTCGAAGCCTGGCCCAAGTGTAGGAACACTTATCCCAGTGGCAGCACCCAGGAACCACCACAATACCCTAAATCTCTCTTCTTGTTCTGTCAAGACATTTCCAGTCTTTCTGAGAGTCTGCCCTGTTCTTCCTGGACAGCTTTATGATGCACTCTGCAAGTTTTCTTGTCCCATTCCTGGGGTGCGTGTGTATGTGTATAAGACAAAGGTAATGGGAATATCCATGAGTAACTGTATCTTCTGAATCTGAGTTTACACTACAGGCAGTATAGTTTTGGAGGAATTGATGATATTTGTGGTTTCTAAGCAGTACTGAAACCCACAAATTCTATTTGGAGCACTGATTCTCCATGTGTGGTTGGTACATCTCCAGGTGTGTGTCTTGGATCCATCCAGGTAGGAGGTCCGTGAGGTTGGAAGAACTTGTTATGGTAAAATAAAGACACCATTAGCCTTCTTCAGTATATTGTCTTCATTGATGCTGAGAAGGCAACAGTGCAAAAACTGATGCTTCACCTTGAATCAAGGCCATGGCAGCAAACTACCATAGCAATCATTTCAGTCTTTAATCCCGAACACTTGAATTTTTTTTAAAAATTTTTTTATTTTAAAGAGTGAAAGAAGGATAACATAATAATAGGGCAGACTTACCAAATTACAGACAAAGTGGTAAGAAATTATCAATGGTTACTGTTTTACATATTGTTATCTACAAGATAGTTTCTCATAGGCAAATAATAGTGAGTTACAGACAAAAGAGGTAGGAGATTATTGATAGTTGTTGTACTATACTTTGGTATCTTCAAAGTGGCCTCCAAAGAAAATAAATAGAACTATACATGAGTGACCTATTGAATAATCATTAACTATTCTCAATGGTTGCTGTAGGAAGCACACAATAATAAACATGCATCCATTTATGAAATAGGACAGGAACAATACAAACATTGTATTGTTCAGAGTTATGGACAGACCAGTAGGACATTGTATTGTTCCAGAGTTATGGACAGACCAGTAGGACAATATCAGTGGCTGCTGCAATACATGGTGGCATCCTCAAAGTGATTTCTCAGGAAGACAGAGACATGCAAGAAGGATCCAACAAGTTGTTACAGCCTAAGGGTTGTCAAAAATAGCACATTACCTCCTCACCAGTGACTCCTGTCACTGAGGTGCGACGGCTGGAAGGAATGCCAGGATTGAAAAGAAGGACCAAGAGACTTGCACCTGTGTCTAGCAACAGGCTGTTTTCTTGTTCCTCCAAAGTCATGATTACCCAGGGCTCCTCCATGGAGATGACAGTCTGGCCAGAGGGAGAAGGCAGAGTATGCCCTGGGCCCCCTCGTTCCTGTTAGACTAACTGGTAGGATGGGTCTGAGCTCTGGGGCCTCCGCTTCAGAGGGCAGACCAATCTCCAGTGGTCACCTTTGCATTCAGGGCATGGCCCATGGGGCCTCTTAGGGCAGTTCCTCTTGAGGTGGCCTGGCTTTGAACAGTGGTAGCAGATGAATGCAGTTGTCGAGTTCTTCTTGGGGCCCCGGGGGAATCAGAGTTGGGGTCTGTTTCTCTTAGTGCTGCAGCAAAAGCAGCTGCTTTTTCTCAGTCTCTTTGTTTTCTCTCCTTGGCCTCCTCCTCATCATGGCTATAGAATACTGAGGAGGCAATTCTTACTATCATCTATGAACACTTGAATTTAAGAAAAAACAGTTGTATTTAAGAATGTCTTTGATGAAGCAGGAGAAAACATTTGTTGCACTTGTAAATTCCTACCCTTGAATGTATGTGTCATACGTGGTGGGGATCCTACAGGAGAGAAGGCCTAGGCATTTCTGCTGCATGTCAAAGCTGGCAATTGAATTGAGAGCTGGACAAGATGCTCTTTTTGTAGAAAACCATCTTAATTTGAAAAAACACCTGACAGACCGTGGTTACTCAGCTTTGTGTATTTGGCACACATTTTCTTGAAGAAAACCAAAGTGATATGCCACTTCTAGGCAGAGAACTGGTAATAGTTGTAGCCAATGATAAAATCTGATCTTCCATAGAAAAATTAGAATTTTGAACAATTTGTATTTGCTACCATGAGCTTGACAGTTTACAGGTGTTTATTTTTTTTTCTGATGAGATGAGTGAGAATATTAACAAAAATATTTTTTTAGTTGTATTACAAAATACTTCACTATTTTGGGTGTCTGTGTAACTCAGGGAGATAATTTCTCAAAATGACCAGAGTAAATACCAGTCAACAAGATAGACCACTAGACTGAAATGTAATAGGAGGTAGGAAAAATTCATCAGTATGTGGTATTCAGTTCTATATGGTGACAAACTTCAAAGAAACTATCACTTACCACATTTTGGTATAATATTGTGACAGTTAATCTTGACTGTATCAACTTGACTGGCTTGGGATCTGTGCAGTGGATTGGTGGAACACACATGTGGGTGGGTCATGGAGGCGTGACTTTGGGCATTATATCTGGTCCCTGACCCCTTCCTGCCTGGCACTGTTCTACTCCGCATCCTAACACCATGAACTACGCAGCTTTGCTCTGCTGTGCCCTTCCACCACAGCCAGCCTGTCATGGACTACATCCCCTTACATCGAGAAAATGAAACCTTTCTTCCTTCAAGTGGGACATTGGGTTGTGTCCCAGCAACAGGAAAGCTGAATAATACAGCACAAAATAAAAATAGAGTTATTTAAAGATACTGTTAACATTGTCCTTTCATTGCCAACAGTTATGTGTGTGAGGACTAATCTTTTTCATATACTTCACCCAAAATATGTCACAACAGACTGAATGTATTGGGGACCTGGCCAAGATCCCCAACTGCCTGTATGAGGCATATGGTGAAGGGTGAAGAAAAAAACAGAAACAAGTTTAGTAATTCATAAAAAGGGGGCTGGGAGGTCAGTGCCTCAGGATGGGCAAAAACAAAGACATTCTGTCAGTTTCTATTGGGTGTAACCAATAATCAGAGGGAGTGTTGGATGACTTAGAGCATGGTAGTGTTCTTAAACTAGTAAGGATCTTGCCTTGGAGTGTCTTTAATCATTCTAGTCTTAGTCTTAATCTTAGTAGGTGGGAGAGGATGGCCCACCCCTAATGAGGTAGTGGGAAATCTCAAAAGGATGATACCAATAATCTTAATCCTCTGTTCATCCCTTAGGGAAGTATGTAAAACTAGCCATTGTGAATTTGTGCCCCTCAACAAACGTTCAAGCAGACATGAAAGCAAATAGTCTCTTATTCAGCCAGACATTAAGAGAACAATGTCATGCTTGTAGCTTCTTGAAGAAAATACTGTTGCCTTGCTTATAAATGCATTATTCAGGGGCTGGGGATTTAGCTCAGTGGCAGAAGCGCCTGCCTGGCAAGCGCAAGGTTGTGAGTTCGGTTCCCGGTACTGGAGAAAAACCAAAAAAAAAAAAAAATGCATTATTCATATTAACATGTAATGGATTCATTATTTTTATTTTGAGATGAGTTGAATAGTGAAGACATTTAAACTTCTCAGCCTAAATTCCAGTATGGTAAATGTGTATAAAGCTCTCGGGGATCCCAAATAACTTTTAGGGGTTTGAAGGGCTGGTGAGATGAGGCTTTGGATGTGCCAATTTAGAGAACTGTCACATTTGCAGCTATCTTTAAGGATACAGTGGTAGTGTATCGATGGTAAAAAAGGCTTGCCCTATTGTAAAATAATAGTCATTTTCCCACAGAAGTTTGAAAGAAGAAGGAGTCCTAAGACACCATTCTCTACAGAACTCTTTTTCTCCAAACTATGGCTGAGAAAGCAGCAGCAGCCCTCAAAAATATTTTGTGTCACTTACCTTCATTGTTTCTCTACTCTGTACTTTATAGCCTTTTGAAATGGAAGTTGTAAGTGATGTTTTTAGGGAGTAAGGAGAAAATGAGAACCTAAAAACTATAGAATGGCCACAGAAAGGACTGTCATAACAGAACTTTAATTTGAAGACCAGATAGACATATGCAAATAATGTGCAAGTGTATCAGAGTTGCTCCTACTTTAAATACATGAACCTGGCCCTTGGGACAAAACCTACAAAAACTTTGATGTTATTGCCTTTTTGGAGCAGCGTTGTCATTTGGGGGAAGCCTACTGTCAGGATGAATGAGTTTTTCTTCCACGAACTTTACCCCCTGTGAGCTTCTGTTTGGGCACTGCTGAGAGTGTTGGACAGTCCCTTTTCCAAATGATGGTTGGCTTGACATTTCCTGATACTTCTAATAAAATTATGTGTCAAGGAAATTGAAAGGCACATTCCCTGGGGTGACAGGTAGAGTGAGCTTCATGGATTTTATGAGAACAAACTGACCATTTTTGTGATGAATGTTAATAAGAAATAAATGGGATCAAAGTTATTCACACTGTATTTCTACTTCTTTTGGGGCTGTCTCTCTCTGTCTCTTTCTCTCTCTCAGAATTGCATCCTTTTTTAAAAAAGGATTTCCCCCTATTCTGCTTTGTATTTAATTTATCATCTAAATAGAAAACATTTAAACTTTTTAATTTTGTGTCAGAATGAAACTTCCTTCTTTTGGAGCTTTGGGCCTTTGGTAGTAGGTAATCCTGTATTTTCTGCATGTGTATTCTACTGGAGAAAGTGGCGATTCTCCATTGTGCAACTGCTATGATTTCAGTGTGTGTCCCCCACAGTCCATGCATTGGAAACTTAATCTCCGAAGGTGTTATCTTAATAGTGTTTGAAGCTAGGGCCTTTGGGAAAGAATTAGGATTAGGTGAGGTGGCATGGGTGAGGCCTTGAGGATGCCATAGTGGCTTTATTAAATGAGAAAGAGAGATCTGCGCACACTTGCCATCTCTCCCCTGTGATATCCTCCTGCATGTTACAGTGCAGCTACAAGGCCCTCACTAGCATGCTCACCGGAACATACTCTGGATTTCCAGCCTCCAGAGTTGCACCATTCTTGGCAAGATACCTAGTCTCAGGCATTTTGTTATACTAACAGAAAACAGACTAAGCATCTAAGCAGTGCCAGGTAGATCATAGAATCCTGGTAAGTCCCATATTTTATTCACTAAGTTTTTGAGTTGACAGGTGTCAAACACCATCGTTCATTCTCTTGAAATAAGAATACTGGCTCCAGAATAAGAATATTGACATGAGGAGCATTGTCTTCTTCCAGATGCTCTAGTAGCTATGAAGCACCATGCTCTGAAACTACTGAGTAACAAGATGCCTTAGAAATGTGTGTCTTAGAAAACCTGGGGGTTGGAGATTAATGGGAGAAGAAATTTTGTATTTGCATATACACTGTTTCTGAGTTGTGTTTGTTGCTATTGTTTCTCTTGTTTAGTTTTATTTGAAATAAAAAGCAGTAAGGTTAGGTAATCATGATACTTCAGAAATGATTCTACAAACACTGCAACCATTTTAATGGTTCTGCAAAATCATGGGAATTTAAGATCCAATAATTGTTAAATGGTTGGAATGCTCATTAAAAACTCAAAATATCAATTTAGTTTCCTCCTCCAACTCCAGCCAACTCACTATACTAATAACTATACTAATAATGATAATATGTGCATTATGTGTCATCTTTGGCCAAGAGTCCTTACTTGGTCAGCACACCCCACTCTGAGTAGAATGCCAGCTCTGTACAGGCAGGGATTTTCAACCACAGGGTATTCCTCTATCCATGGTCTCTTGATTTCTTATGGGCACATAGCAAGTGCTCAGTATATATTTTTCAACAAAGAAGTAAAGACTTGATTCTATCACTACAATAATTTGAGTGTGTGAAGTCTGCATCATTATTATCATCACTCTTATTTTATAAAGAAATTGATAATCATACTTCCCAAAGTCGCACTGCTAATACATGGCAAAGGTGGGATTGGAACTCTCTACCTTCATGTCAGCTTTTAGAATTAGATTATGCTAGATGGATTCAAAGGAATTTTTTAATCAGAAGACAGTATGAGTCAATAGCTTATCTCCAAAAGGGTGTGTCCTTATAAAATTAGTGTACCAAGAAAAATGTCAATGATTTAATACGTAAAAGCACTAATTTTTAGAAGTATAACAAAAAGTTTATCACAATACATAGGAAAACAAGTGAATATGAAAATAATTCACATCATTTTTATGTTATAGAAGTTGATAAAACTGATAAAAATGCTGAAAATGGTAAAATGTAATAAAACTTTCATCCAAAAGAGGAAATTGTAGCAAGAATATAAACACTAATGTTTTGATTCCCTAATAAACTAAAGGTAAAGGAATGAATGAGATACAGGTTTCCATCTTAGGGTTCCATCAGGATAATATTTCTGATAAACTTGTTTCTTTCCATCTTCTCTTTGAAAGACATATGCACCCATGAACAGAAATACAAAGCCTTCAAAATAATAAAAATTAAAGATAGTAATTAAACTTCTTTAAGAATTTGGGAAATTTTTTCTTTTTTCAAATATTACCCAGAGATGAAGCTAGAGTAAGAATCTAAATGCTATTTCTTCCTGCTGGTGAGGAAGAAAGGGAAAAGATTTGGCCTCTCACTTCTCTTAAGAGCTACCTCATAGAGAATTCGCTGTCCAAAAACCTGCGCAGATACCCAAATATCATGTGAGGATTTGAAAACGTACTCAGCCAAGGAAAGAGATAAATTTCATAATTAAGAACTGCAGAAGTGTTCTGTAAAAATAACTGGTGGTGGGCATCGCAATAGTTTTGTGCTCCGTCTAAATGAGGATGTTTGCATAACTGAGTTCAAGTTTCAAAACTGATTTCTGAAAAAGCTAACTGTTCTTACAGGTAATAATTGTAATGATCTAGGGATATTACATTAGATTATAGTAAGCAGGTGGGGAAGGTATAGAATAATGAAAGAATGCTAAATTCTTTACCTTACACTTTATTTCATTGTATACTTTGATAAGAAAATAAATTGTTTTTAAAAATTGATGACTGGGGAAGTGTGTTTTTGCAAACATTAAAAATAAATGCTTTTAGAATCTAGAGCACAATATATATATTTCAAATCATTGTAAATAAAAACAAAATTATGTGTATCCAAAGACATAAAACAAAGGAAAATATAAACATAGGAAATATAAAATAATAGAATAAAAAGGCGTATGAATTGTAACAATGAATGTAAAATTGTTGTTTTGTTTCGTTTCTTTCTGGTACCAGGAATCGAACTAACGACCTTGCACTTGCCATGCAAGTGCTGTGCCGCTGAGCTAAATCCCCAGCCCCCAAATGTAAAATTGTTGACAATCCATGCATTTGTACAGTTTTTTGGTTGCAAGTGACAGAATCCCAACTTGAAATTTTGTTTTTGGAGCAAGACACTTAGGAAATAACATACAAATGCTACAATAATATACACTTTCTTTTACAATAATAATATATATATTCTTTCTTTTAGTGCTGCAATAGTATATTCCACACTTAAACTTCTCCAAGATTCAAAACTTTTTAAGAAGAAGGTAGTAGAGGATGATGTGGAGAATTCCGTCTCTTCAGGAACTTCTGTACGTATGAATTGAACTCATGTGAGCCGAAGGTTGAAAGTTTTGGATGAAATTCATATATGTTACCTAGAAAAATTCACGGAACAAAAATTTTTAAGAAAAAGCATTTCATTATATTTCATTGTTATGGATGTTCCCAAACTAGATCACTAGGTATTGAAAGATTGGTGTTTATCCTTACAATACTTGATACATAATAGCTGTTGCCATACTAAGCAATTATTTAATTATTTGGATGAAGCCAAGGGGGTAAAGTAGGAAAAACTTTGAATTTAGAGAAAAAAATCTGTACTTAAGTTTAATTTATGCTACTTATTAGCTGGAATATCTTAAAAAAATCTCTTAATTTTTCTATAAAATCATTATTTGTGGACTGATATAATTAGATATAAGAATCATCAAAATTCCACCAAGATATATCACTGTGGTAAGCCTAAAATGATCCTACTAGCAAATAAAGTTGTCTCATGAAAGCGGCTCTTCATTCAGCTTTTGAGTTTTCTACCTGGGCATTACTAGTAACACACCTGTGGTATTTCCTACTTTGGATTCCCCATGGTGAAAGTCCTTCATGTTTAAGCCTCAAAGTGTGTTTGACAACTGTTCACAAACTGTGTGATGGGGCTTTGATAAGATTGCATAATTTGACAATATAGGGCTGATTAGGATTAAAATAGAAAGATTCATCACATAGAATTCTCCCTCACACTATTTCAAGCATCACTAATAAGAACTGTAATATCCAACAACATTGCGGATTAGCAAAACTAATTGTCCTAAATAGAGACTCATTTCTAACTATATTAAAACTGATAGCAGTACTAAAAAGCAATCTAATTCTAAAAGCAGATTTAGAACATTAGTTATTGACCAGCAATTATTTCAATTGTTAGGGAACATTTGGAAATCCCAGGGATATTTTGGTTGTCACAGGTAGAGGAAGACATCTGGCATCTACTGTTTAGAGGGGAGGGACACCAGTGAACATCCTCTCATGTATCATCCTATAATGTACAGGACCAACCCCACAGCAGTTACTGTCTCACTCAAATGTCAGTCAACGTCCCGAGGTTGAGAAATCCTGAATGGAAGTGGAAGTTGACTTTTCATGAGTGGCAGGAGATGCAGGCATTGAGAGGTTAAGTTTTATTGATGAGCATTTTCCTCCCATGACTAATATAAATACTGAAGTCCAGGAGTACTTGGCTGGGTTTCACACCATCCTGCCTATGGCCTCTGTTCCCACGGACAGCTCACCCTTGTCTTCTTGTAAGTCCCTCCCCTGTCCACATTCTGTCCCCTTTTAGGGCCCAGTTACTGCCCCTGGGTAGCAGGTGTTGCTGACTGGTTGGACGATGATGAGCTGTTATAGATACGTGGCAGGAAATTCTAGAGCAAATAGGATTGTTTTTTCAGAAGACTTTGAAGTTCCCCAGTGCCTGTGCCTGACCCCAGCTATAGGCTGGATTATTCTTCATCCAAGCTCCCATTCTTGACCTACAAGAAAAATGTTTTGACATCCTTAACACACTGCAGGTAGGAAGGATACTTTGTTCACGTTTATATTTAGGGGAGGATTAGAACAAACCAAGAGAACAAACCAAGAGAACAAACCAAGAGAATTTTAAATTAATTCAGGTACTAAAAGGAAAATGCCCCCTCTAGCTCCCTTCCTGAAGTTCCAGAGGATTGTGGATGATTTATTTATTTATTTGTTCTCCCTGTATATTTTATAGGACGTGCAAGAATAATTTCTGAATTTAAAATCTTAATCCTGTGAAATGATACTAGATGCTTCTCTTGGCTTACATTTAGCCTCGGGCAAGAATTTTGACATTATTAAATGGGAAAATGACCACCACTTTAATATCGTTTAGGTCACAGAAAATAAACATGCTAATGTGTTTTTGGACCCCATTTCCTTGAATGCCCGAGAATATTTCAATATCCACCTGTGGCTGCGGTGCCGCTTAGCACTTGTGACTGCGTTTGTCGCACAGATTCGTGGCATCGGAATTGTGAAAGGTACAAATGCCTAGTTGTCTGGATCAGTTGTTCTCATAGAAGTGCATGCAGGTAAAGGGGTTTTATTAGGATATATTGTATTATGACGTTCACATTTTATAATTTTCTAGCTTGATCTGTTTCTAGAATTTAAAATCCAGGTTATTTCATAAGAATAGTAATTTCCAACAGTCCTTTGTATCAGTGAAAGTGGCATGCGGGTCATGGATTTGTGTAAAACAGCCAAGAGATTTCAGAATCCATTTATGTCCCCAGCTCTTCTTGTCATTTCCGAAGGTGGCAAAGTGTCAGGGTGAAGAGGGCAGATTTTAGAGCCACCGAACTCAGGTTCACGTGCTGCTTCTGCCAGTTCCGGGCCAGTTCTTTCTTGGCCAAGTCTCTTCTCTCTTAATCTTTCTGCACCTCAGTGTTCCACTCTGTAAAATACAGGTAACTGGACCTGCCTCTAGATTACTGTCAGAACTAAGTGGGTTAAATCTGCAGTCTTAGATAATAATAGTCTGGCATATATAAATATTCTTGCAGTGATGCATAAGTATCTGCTTTATACCTATCTGTTCACCACTGTTGTATCTATCTTCCAAATCAAATTATTTCATGTAATAGTATTGTTACTTTTGCAACACTGGGCTATTTCAAAGTGCTCCCCCCAACTTACAACACATTTCTTGTCAATGTTTCATGTAGAGTGTATTTGTTTTCCATATTAATATCCTCTTGTTCTTCACCCTTCTTCAGTCTCCCTGCAATGAGCATTGGGAGCATCGTACATTTATATATGTTCACGCTTTCTCAATGCATTTTAAGTAACCACACTTGTTTATTTTAGAGAACGATATGACAGATTGTTTGAGCCTCATCAAGGAGGTGTGTACGGAGGCAACAAGCGCGGAGGACACAGAGATGCAGGCGGAATTTTTGATGCAGGCTGTAATCGTTGGCCTGCAAGAAAAGCATCTAAAGGCAGACATCATAACCAACCTTCAGGTATGAAGCAAACCTTGCTCACTTTATATTTAGGAAGGAGTCCACTAGAACAAAAGGAGAACTTTAAATTCTTTTAGGTACTGAAGGTGTAACAAACAGCCAGCTCTTGTTTCTGTGAATTGAAAATGGTACTATCAAATAAAATACTTTTGTTTTAATAGAATATAATACATTTGCTTGGAGGAAATGAGTTTATTTCTCCTCGATCTTGGTTAACCCTGGCAAGAAGCCTTGTCCTACTGGATGACCTAACAAAAGCCGAGAAATTCAAGCAGCAATCTCCCTCTTCAAAAACAGAAATATTAAAATTCTTGACCCAGGCCCACAACATCCTTATTGAACAGGTGAGAATGTCTTTGTGCCTACAAAACTTTCCTGTTTCTTTTCTTATTCCAAGCCACAAGAACTAATTACTCATTACAGTGTTTCTTTTGTAGATGCTAAGTTTTGGAGAAACAGTTGAATTTCCCTTATTAAATACTGAATATGCAAACCCAGTACAGCCTTTAAAAAATATCTGGCTTCCTCATGTCATGCTGTTGGCCAAAATAAAAATGAGAATTGGTAAGAACTTTGCAATATGTACAGCACTTCAGTAATTGAGATGTAATGTGAGTGTATTTAAAAGGGAAAAGGTTTGTGAATATTGGACTACATTTATTTTTCTGGTCACTTATCATGTACCAGACTCTGTGATACATGGGTGGTATTTATGTATCAGTAAAGTAGAAAGTTGATTATAGTAATTATAATAAATACTTTGGACTATTTGAATTTTATACATTTTATCAATCATTTCAATTGAAATAATAACCGTGTAGTCTACTTAAAAATTTCTACATGTCAGTAACTTTAATAGAAGAAATTCTGTTAAAAACAAAATATAACTGTCTTTCTTAAGTAACACTATTTTTGTCTGTTAATCTATTTAAAAATCAGAATTTTAAAAAATTTCTGACAAATTGGCGAAAAGATTTTGGTGAGAAACATATAAAATTATTTATACTTTTTAGTTATAATGGATATGTTAAGTGTCCTTATCTTTAAAAACACTTAATGTCCAGGAAGAAAAAAACCCCATGTTTTAACAAATGTGTTTACCAGGGTAGTATTCATTTTTCCAAGCTATAATAACTTGTTTATAAAATTTTAAGAAGTAAACTTGTACCTGACAAGTGTGGGATTTATCCGCTGCCTTGAAGGCACAACATCCATGTTTCTGTTACCATGTTTCTCTGTTATACACTCGTGTCTTGGTTACTTTTCTTTCGTTGCTGAGACAAAATATCCAACACCCCAAATTAAGGAAAGAAAGGTTTATTGAGCTCACAGTTTGTGGAGGTTTCAGTCCATACTCAGCTGGCTCCAAGGCAGGGTGGCATGGCACAGGGGCAACAGTTCAAGGCAGCAGAAGACAGCAAAAATGTGTGTGAGGGGAGAGCAAGCCTCTTTTCCTGCCTTATATTGTATGTAGGCTAACTGCCCACACCATCTCCGTGCCTTCCTCTTCCACAGGCTCAGGATGTTTACAAAGTAAGGACTTTGGCCCCCTGCTGAGTCACTTAGTTAACCTTCTAAACCTCTCAAGTTGACACCATGTATCAACCATAACAACTAGTCAGTACTGTAAATGGTAGATTTGCTACTGCTCATGGTATTTTACCTGCCAGGCAGGTGGTATAGTTTGCAGGCAGGGGAAAGACTATATAAACCTCACTGCTCTTCCCAGGCTGAGCCCTTTGGGAAACCTGTCTAATCAGCCTGGGTCATAGCTCCAGTTTCCTTCTGCCCTGGTCCTTTGTCAGGGAGCAGCTTCCCTTGCTGAGTCCTCCTCTTGGCTCTCAGTTTTTATTGCCTCCCAGGGTTCCTGCTCCAATACTTTTGCCTTCTCTTGCATATCCTCTCTCCTCTTTACTTAATATGTCCTTTTTCATGTTCCCTTCATTTTTATTTTATTTTTGTTTTATAAACTGTTTACTAATACATGTTTGCTGTACATAATGATTATGTTCATCATAGAGAGTTGGTACAGGTGCATACCACATCTCAACCTTTTTCCTTCCCTTTCTCTTCCCTTCCCTCCCAAACCAAACTAAACAAACAAACATAAACCTACCCTAGGCCTCCATCACCTTTCCTCCTGTTTTAGTTACTTTCTGTGTTACTGCAACAAAATACTTGACATCCAAAGTTAAGGGAGGAAGGGTTTATTATAGCTCACAGTTTGTAGAGGTTTCAGGCCATAGTCGGCTGGCTCCAAGGCAGGGAGAAACAGAGGAGAAACAGTTCATGGTGTGGCAGGCAGAAGATGGTGAGCAGTAAGCAGCAGCACCCTGCCTTCCATCTTTCCTTTGGATTCCATTCCATCCATACCACAGGAAAGCAAAGACGTTCCATTCTGTTAGGCTTGTAGCCCAATGGTTGATGCCACCCACACCCAGGGTAGGACTTCCCATTACCCATACCCAGACCAATGGTAGAGAATTAGTGGACTAATCCAGTTATCCCATGCCCTTAAACCATACTGACACAACCTAGATCCAGCCACCTCTGAAAAGCCCACCTGTGAGTGCATAAAGCTTTGGGGGAAAGTCTAGATAGAAGCCATAACACCTCTCAGTGCCCTCTGCCCACAAGCTTAAGATTGGACTCTGTCCTTCCCTCCATGATTTAAACTCCTATTCATTCCTTATCCCACTCTACTCCGGATTTAAACCAGGGAAACCACTCTCGATGTTTTGTTACTAAGGAGTTAATTATAATTCCAAAGTATAATTTTCTAAACTTGCCTATACGAATCCCCAACTCAGTATAACACCTGACATTGCTGACATCAGTTGCAGTTTTTGGAAACTATTCTCTGGATCTTTAGGTTCCCAGATGCTGCGTTCTCCCTGGTTTTCCCCTTCCTCTCTGGTCTCTTAATTACCTTTGTGTGTTCTATTTCCATACTGTGTCCCTTAAGTAAACACTTCCCATTTATTTAATTGGCTTAAAAGAATTCTGGTTTTTTTTTTTTTTTTTTGTCTTTTTGAGACAGGTCTCGCTATGCAGTTCAGGCTGGCCTTGAGCTCACTTTGCAGCCCAGGCTTGTCTTGAACTCACAAAGATCTTCCTGCCTCAGCCCTCCAAATGCTGGGATTATAGGCATGTGCCACCACACCTGTCCTAAGAGAATTCTCAAGATGTGGTCCAGGCCTGCTTGTCATCCTGTTCTTCAACCCTCCAGTCGCTCTGAATCACTGTCAGTACTGGGTACTTACTAAACCTTTGCACATCTGTGTTCTGCAGCTGGAACCATCCTCTCCAGACACTGCACACCCACTCTATCTTTCTCTTACCTCTCCTCCCCTCACACATACAGAGACACTTCCTTTAAGTCTCTGTATCCTTCAGACCTTGGTTAAACGTCACATCTTCTGGGAAGCTTTTCCTGACCATCAAGACTGAGTTAGGTACCCTACTCCCCTGCTAGTCGATTATTCTTTGATTATTCTTGTAACACCCATTGAACTGGTTGTTATGATCAGTTTGCTTGATTGAAGCCTCCATTAGAATGTAGACTTCTGATGGCAACAGATTCATTTTGCCCACCTGACGATACCCTCCTAGATACCTAGCACAGCAGGTAAAATCAATGAATCAATCATGACACTTTTTCATACTTCATTCATCTACTAGACTACTATGCAACCACTGAAAATGAGGTTGCAGAACAATTTCTACACAGCAGAAAGATGTTTATGTTACATTGCAAAAATGTCCCAAACACAAAAATTGAAAATATTCATTATGTATCATGATACCACGGGAAAGCAAAGACAGAAATTTATACCAAGGTGTTCAGAGACTGTCTTAGTTACTTTTCTCTCATTGCTGAGACAAAATCCCTGACTCCCAAAATTAAGGAAGGAAAGGTTTATTTAGCTCACAGTTTGTGGAGGTTTCAGTCCATACTCAGCTGGCTCCAAGGCAGAGTGGCACATGGCAGAGGGCAACAGTTCATGGTGGCAGAAGACAGCAAAAGCAACAAGCTCAAAAGTGGGGGAGTGAGACTGTTTTCCTCCTTTATATTGTATGCATGCTACTACCTCCCCAAGGGCAGGTGTAGCACTCACACCATCTCCTGCCCTCCTCTTTCACAGGCTGAGGATGTTTACAAAGTGAGGACTCTGGCCCCTTACTGAGCCCCTTAGTTAAACTTCTAAATTTCTCAAGTTGACACAATGTATCAACCATAACAGAGACACTTCCTGGCTGATATGATTATGAATGATGTTTATTTTCTTCTTTTCACTTGTTTCTTTTCTTGAAATCTTCCAAAATGAACACACATGACTTTTGTAACAAAAATACTTGTTTGTTTGGGAACTATTTGTCAGTGAAGATGCACACCTAATACTTAATAAATATTTAGCATCAAGTAACATTTCTGGCACATAGTAAAATGTTAGACAGACCCTTTCCAAGTAGTTCAAGGAAGATAAGCTAGTGGATAGTACTGTGGAAAGATGGGTAACACAGGTTATGCGAATTAAGAAGCACAAGATAGAGTGTGCAGAGCAAGCTGCTTAGATGTGTGTTTAGGATCTGGAGGGCATGGCTTGAATCTTGGCATTATTGCTACTTAGTTGTCTGATCCTGGAAGTTATTTAAGCTCTTAGACTCAAGGGCCTTACCTGAAAAATGGGAGTAGGGGTAGTTACCTTATGAGTTTGCAGTAATTAAATGAGATAAAGTATTTAAGGACAGTGCCTGGCACATACAAGACATGCAATAAATGGCAGTTACTATTTTTATAATTTCTTACACCTTGCTTTATCTTTACTACTTATTTCACTTGGTCATGTTGGTCAGACTGGCTTCATCATCCCCTTTCTTTTCTACCATTATTTTAGACATCTGTTGTACTTTTACTTTCCTAGACCTCAGTAGCAAATACAAGATTCTCAGAACTCTGGTAGCCAGATCCGGCTGGTTCCTGCACCAACACCCTCACCTGCTTCCCTTCCTGCCCCCAACAGGATGAGCTCTTTACATCAGTGCTACATGTCAAGCTTAATTTCACCCTCTAGAAGAGACCTCTAGAATTTCCCTTTCTATTCTTTCTCAGTTTTACTAGGATCATTCAGTACTTTCAGTTGCAAAAATTTTTTGTTTCTTCTTTAAAGTATTTTCTTTTGAAAGAAATTATTTTAGAATTCTGCTTTGAAATTGACAATGTCTAATTGCAGTCATTCTTCTGGTGGGCAAATGCACTGTTTTTCTCTTTTTCTTGCTTTTCATTCCGCTTCCCCAGCTTTCAGTCTGTATCTTGTAGGCTGTTGATTGAATATGTTTTTTGCTAATATTTTCCACAATTGGGGGACCTAGCTGATACTCCAGACATTTGTTCCCTGCACTCAGCAGGTGAGTGATGTGCTATCTCAGCTCATTATCAGAACCTTGGGGTGTGGCCTTTCCTTTCAGGATTCAATACGTGCTATTCAACCGTTTCTGTCTGAACGTTGCACATGAGATCTACAGTGCCAATCTAATTTTTCTTTTTTTGGTGAGAAAGTTGT